ATTCGTGTGAGTTCGGGGTGCGCCTTGGTTTCCCCATTTGTCCAACCCGAGGCCTTCACGCTGCAAGCCCCTCCCTGCCTGCTGGGTCTGAAGCTACTCCTTTTCAGTGGCCCCACGGGGCTCCCCTGGGGACATAGGAAAGCCTGAAGACCAGCCATCACCAGGGCCAAGCCGGAGGACAGGCTGGCAGGAACTTGGGGTATAGGGTGCAGAATTCCTGGGGAATTCGGAGACCTGGGTCCCATTCCTGGTGAACAACCCTTGGGTTCCGCTTTAAGCTCTAACGGGGAGCAGGATGCTGGGGTTCCCATCCCTGAGGGAGTGCAAATAGCACCCCAATCTCCAAAACCAAACTCACTGCCTTCGAATGCGTTTGGAATTGGTCCTGTGGGTTTCTGAGCCTGTCACTGGTCACGGGAGCAGAAAGCCTCATGGGTCTGCCACGGAGAGGAGCAGCCGCTGCTTTCAAACCGATGACCTTGGGGTTAAGCGAAATTCACTCCGCTCGCTACTGGGGCTCCAACATCCTGGAATATGGAGTCCTGGGACATCTGCGTCCCAGTTCCTGGATGGGGCGTGTCAGATGCCAACTGTTGGCCCCCCTGGGAGAAGGGACAGCATGTCTGGGTCCCCACCCTAAAAGGGTTCCAGTGTGGGCTGGTCACCGTGACCCGAGGGGCTGCTGGGGCCCAGGTGGGCTTCGCCTCTCAGGATAGGGGACCCCTGATAGGTTCCGAGCGTGAAGGCGGGATTCTGCCACCTGCAGTTTCCATGGGAAGAAATGGGGACACCCTAGGGAAGCCCCGCTGGCCCCCCTCCCTCCGCCCTACCACCGACCCGCGGGAGGGACCTGAGCGAGGTGGGATGGAGGAGGCGGGGCCGCAGTGGGCGGGCCTCCGCCAGGCCTCGCCCCTCGCCGCCAGCACTGTCCTCGCGTCTCCAAGTCACCCAGGCCTCGCTGGGCGCCCAGCGCCGCGCACCCTGCCGCCGGGCCGCTGGGGTCTATGGAACATCCTCTCTGCGCCCGCTGGCCGGCTCTCCGCCGTGCCTGGAGGCTGCCCCGAGGCCGGGTAACGGGGCTCAGAGCTCTACGGGGAGGGAATGCTGAATGCTGGCAGGAGGGGACAGGGACGCGGGTCCTGGGTCCTGGGTCTGGGGTGGAGGGGTGACAAGGATACTTGAGTCCTGGAGAAATTGAGGGGTGGGGGTGGGGCTTGGGAACGTGGACGGCTGGGTCCAGGGCTGAGGTTCAGGGTTCCAAGACAGAGAGATCTGGGGGCGGCCTGGGGCGTTGGGGCTGCCCTGGAAGAATAAGGAGCTAGTGGACACGTCCCTGAGTCTGGGGGAGCTGGAGACCAGGACCCCCTGGGCCCCGAGTGGAGCTTGCTCGCCCCGGGAAAGAAGTTGTGGTTTGGGAGAGCTGGTGGCCCGGGGCCCCCAGCACTGTCCCAAGGAGCAGAGGGGCGTCCCTGGGCAGGACGTGTGTGGTGGGGGTCTCTGCCACCCTCGCCCCTCCCCCTCTTCTGAGCGCAGCGTAGGGACGAGGCGGCGCACGGTTATCTGGGGAGCCTGGCACCTAGGGTGGGCTCGTGGTGTATCGCGGGGGCGGAGGGCTGGGGGCTGGGGGAGTGGACAGGGGCTCGGTGTGCCTGAGCCCGCTCGCGTTCGCCCCCGCCCGTCTTGGGCATGCTGGGCACGCATAGCGCGGGCCGGTCCGATCCGTATGCGCGCCGCGTGCGCCCATTGGTATGCGG